CAAAACTGAAAGGTAGCAGGTGAAGCGTATTTGCACATTCCCATTCAAAAACAATGTCTGCATAAATTACAACAGTACTTTATTGGTTTCTGCAAGCATAGAAACACACTCACTGTGAGATTAAAGAGAGTAGAGTGTTGTTATCCATCTGGGTAATTCACGTCAAATTTTTGAGTTGGTTTAATTGCAGCCTGAAGGAGTTGAAAGCTTTCGGACAGCAGATATCCTGAGAGAAACAGGTGCGTAGTGAAGTGAGGTGTAGGTCTGTATGTGGTCCTGCTGCTACTGGGAGAAAGTAGTACCACCCCCTTAAGTGAACATATAGCTAGACTGCTGTGTGACACGGATAAAGGTGGTTCTGCGGCTCAGCTCTTTGAGTTTGGCGGCACCCACATAGGTGCAGGTGGAGCGCAGTCCCCCCAGCACATCCCGGATGGTATTTTCCACATCTCCTTTGTAGGGAACCTCGACCGTCCTCCCCTCTGATGCCCTGGGAGCCAAGAAAAGAGGTGAGAAGGTAGACTTTAGAAACTTTTCTTTGGTAAAATATCTGCTCATCTATTCTAGTACAAGACCAGAGCATGAAAGTTTAAAATGGGCTCATCTTTTTTTTATAAAGGCAACTTTTGGAGTTCTAGAATTCTTTTGTCACTGTTATGAATCATCAAAGTATGAAATCGATTCAATAAGAAAAAAAATGTTGCAAACACCTGAGTCATTAAAGTGTGTCTATAATAATACACTGTTACTATAAGCAATCAAAAAAAAAAAGGAAATCCCATAGCAACACAGATGAAGCCAAAATGAATGACTCACAGGTGTTGCTGCGAGTCTCAGGGTATCACTATCTCACCTATACTCAGCAACTCCCCCAGTGTATTTCTTCATGGCTGTGTCGGAGCTCATGCCGTAAAATAGTTTGTACTTCTTGCCATTTTTCTCAATGACCTCCCCGGAGCACTGGTCGTGGCCTGCGAGCATTCCTCCCATCATTACAAAGTCAGCACCGGCACCTGAGGAGCAGAGGCACAGCCAGAGTAGGCACAGAGGTAAGATGTATAGAACAACACAGCAAGTTTGAAGAGACAAACACAGTGCACCGTAGCAAACTGTTGTAGAAATACGTACAGTTTTGTTTGTTTCTTTTACAGTAATTTAATAAAAAATGCAGCTTTTGCATTCAGAATCATGATTTGAATCTGTAGTGCCAAAGACATTTTGCTTTTCCAAGATCAGCTTGGGTGCGGGGAAGGTGAAGCCTCCTTCCATGACCACGTCCGACAGGCGCCGAGGTTTAGCAAGGCCCGGACCCCAGCCCAGCCATGGTTACACAGACGCACACACACACACTCAGTGTTAAGGTGCCATGTTGGGTGGGTGTGTTGTTGACCACAGCATTCCCGTAGCCATGCAGTGTGAAGAATGGGGAAGCACAAGAAGCTGAAGTCAGGGAATTTGGACAAGGACATGAAGTCATGGAGATTATATCGTAAAAGACTAAAAGAACAGTATAATCACAATTGTATGCGACACCATTATGTAAATGTTTTTACCTCAAGATATGTTTTTTGTAGATTACAGCAGGTAAGCTGTATATACTACTACCACTACTTCACTGTAATTTAACTGGGACATTTCTTACAGCGTGGGGTTGGTTACTCACCAAAGGCCTTAGCTACATCTCCAGGGCAACTGCAGCCACCATCCTTAACAGAAGTTAAACAAATGTCAGTTTACTGGTTCAAATTAGGTCAGAGAAGCAGGTTTAATGTTTAATTTTAGGACTAAACTGCTCCCCCTATTGGCTGGAAACCTTCAGTAACATGCATGAACAAATCTAGTGATGCATAATTGCACATGTTTTTTGGTTTTTGCACGTGTTTACAGTGTGTTACACCTGCTGAACTGACGAGAAAAAACCTGGTCTTTCAAGCAATAAATGCTCTTCTGTTGCTCACTGTTTGCCACCCTATCCTCCAAGTACAACACAATTTAAAATGGAAATCTCTTTGATGCATTTTCAGTATCTACATGAAAACCACATCATTGCTCTCTGCTCTGCATCATTTTCATTTCAGCCTCTTGCATATTTGCAGCATATTCTGCAGACAGCTTTCCTACTGTTGCAGAAATTGCCAAGATTTACTTTGATTACTGTTTGACTTCATTATTTTTATTAAAAAAAAATTTATATTATGGACTTACAGAGATAATGTGACCTTTGAGTCCATGAGCTGAGTCTGCACACTCTATAACAGCACTGAGCTGTGGGTAACCCACTCCTGTCTTGATCCTTGTTGTGCACACAGAACCTGCAACAGTCAGAGCACACATTAGAGAACCACATCTTTATCTCTCTCTCCGTCTGTGCTGATTGCTGCTGTTGTAACTACAGAAACCTGCCGTCTTTTTTAATCTGTTCAAGTCAGGTGACTACTCTATCAGCAGGAGCGCTAAGAAGCACCAGATGACGTGATGCAGAACAAGCGAACAGAAGAGAAATATTCAAATGCCAAACCAGCAGGAAATAATACAGGACTGTACCAAAGTCTTCAGCCACCTCTCACTTCTTTATATTTTCCTTCCAAGGAGCCAGACCTTCTTATTGTTTTTTTAATGTAGTAATAGTTACGTAGTAGGTGGTTAAATAGTAACAGCTCTTTGGGCTTTCTGTTTCTTTACTCGTTTTTAGTCCAATCATGTACCTGACCTTTTAAGGAGTGTTTTTGTTTGTTACATCTGTGAACCATAAAAGCACAATAAAGGCACCCATGTCAAGTGTTGTGTCTGCACATAAAGTTGTATCTTAAGGCAGCGGTCCCCAACCCCCGGGCCTCGGACCGGTCCGTGAGCCGTTTGGTACCGGGCTGCGAGAGTTGAGGCTCAGGTGTGAAATGTATGGTTTTCAGGGTTTTTATCGGTTTTCAGCGTTATTTTGTTATCGTTTTGATCATTAACTCGGTTTTCCTGGGTCTTTTTACGTGTGTTAGGAATAAATCTTATTTTTTTCGGTACCAGTACTAGTTTTATTTTGTTGTATTTATCCGCGACACATTAAAGGCCGGTCCGTGAAAATATTGTCGGGCATAAACCGGTCCGTGGCGCAAAAAAGGTTGGAGACTGCTGTCTTAAGCCACATTTTTACTAGCAGACTGTCACAAAAACCGCACCATTTTTGGTAACAGCACATTTTGACAAGCATAAATTAGGAGTTTTGCACCATCAAGGTGATTCGCAAGGAGTTAATAGCGAAAAATTTGCCAAATGTTGGCATGGTGTGCAGTGTAAAAAACAAACAAACACAACAGTACCACAGTGAGTGCCATTTTTACACACAGCGTCTTGGTTTGGAGCCACGTTTCAGCCACTGACGTTGGGAATCTCCAAAAATGATGGAATTATGAACTGTACGAGCAAAAAACAACTTTTCTTTAGTATTCAGCTGCTTATTAATGAATGTGATTCAAAGGCACACCCATTAGAAAACAAGCAGCTTCATCTTATTGTTTTTGCCATTTTTATATTCGCTCTATGAAACTCAGTGCTATCTGTGTAAGAAAAATAAACCCTCAGCTTCTTTCATGTTTATGTCGTGTTGTTGTTGTTGGACTGAGTTTGCAAGTAAACCCAGGAAGGACAGATAAGTCTGAGGCTGGGAATGGGAATCCTGATTAAACAAACAAACCGTGCAATACCATCTGGAAAGTATCCGATTGGCGACGGCTTAATTTGTCAGCATGACAGTGATCCCAAACATTAGTCTGCTGTAATCGTACCAGTAAAACCACATTTTTCATGTCTCCACAGCAACGTTAGAGTGGCTACATTAATCATGCAACGAGTCAGTAACTTAATGGCGTGTAACATGACCGCTATACTTGGTTTAAAATGCTGTACGTCTCTGTCTTATGTCTCATCTGTGTTTGCATGCCTCACTGCTGGTCTCTTTGTGTTTGAGGACCGTGCAGCTTTGTGTTAAGAGACCTTCGTACCCACTCACCTGGCCCGATGCCCACTTTGATGATGTCAGCCCCAGACAGGATGAGTTCCTCCACCATCTCTCCCGTTACCACGTTGCCAGCCTGCAAAACCAGCACACAGTCTTAAATATCCCATAATTCACCAGGAGACAAACTGCCAGCCAACGTGAGGCACTGTCTTTCCTACCATGATGGTGTGTTTGGGGAACTTTTCTCTGACTTTCTTGACAAACTCCACAAAGTACTCAGAGTAGCCATTGGCCACATCCAGGCAAATGTACTTGAGGGCAGGGACGGCTTCCAGGATGGCACACAGCTTCTCCAGATCTGCACTGCCGCTCCCTGAGCTAGCAGCTACATGCTATGGGGAATGAAAATGTGTTTTATTTTGATTTTCTAGTTTCTTATGAGAGACAACCTACATGTAAAAAGTCTTAAGAGCTTAAAAGAAGGCAACTGGACTTCTCTAAGTTCCAGTTCCTTCTTTTCCAGCTCTTAAGGCGATGACCTGGATGACTGAGAATCCACACACACAGACTACGTTAAAGCAAAGACTGGAAGTCTTACCTCTAAGCACTCTGGGTGACTAGCAGCAAAGTTTTTCCAGTCTTCTACAGAGTAGTGTTTATGAATGGCTGTGAAGAGGGTGTGCTAAAGAACGAAGCAGTCAGACAGAAAGGAAGACAGGAAGAAAATGAGAGATTCAGAAATACCTTAGATACTCTGGGCCACTGACATTCTCTCTATCATCAATCATTGTCCTTCAACTTGAACAGAAGTAACCTGCTGATGAATCCACAACCATACAAAATAAAACAAATGTATTTATTTATTTTTTTATAACTATTTTCTTCACTCACTTTACTGAGAACTTGTGCCATCTCAAATGTTCCTGTGGTGTCCATGTTGGCTGCAATGATGGGGATACCTGTGTAGGTCTGCTTAGAGTTGCGGAATGTAAAGGTCCTCTGAAGATCCACCTGAGGACGAAGGAATTTTTAAAAATTTATTAGTATTTTTTTATCTTTGTGATTTTTCTTGGAAATATGAGAAGGCTAATACTCATCTCCTGAGTGTGCATGGGTGCACTGAATCATTTAGATCTAATGGACAGCTTCTAATGGATATGCCTGTGCTGAGCTGAGCTTAATGTGACACACAAGCTGCACCACTTTCAGGAAAGTGTTTGAGTCACTTGCGGAAATTATTTCTTTCAAATTAAATCATCAAAATAAACCTTTTATCCAGTTAACGATCTAAACGCTGAACTTTGTTACTACTCAAGAATCTTCTCCAGAACCATCATTCAACAGTCTTGGTGGCTTTACTGCTGTAGCATTACTTGGTCTGGTATAGCTTACTAATGTTAGCTAATGTAAGCAATCCAAATGTGTTTACTGAGGCTAATATTATTGGCTGATAATAGTTATTTGCCGATCTTTCAGTATCTGCATTTAACGGCCAATAATAAAAATTTAAAAACTAAAGAAGAGACAGCAGAAACACCCTTCACCATGGTGTGAGTGATATTGCACAGTTTGTCCACCAGAGGGCACTCTGAAACACTTGTAAATACCTGTAATAGCCCTTTTCCACTAGTACTTAAACGACTCATCTCGGTTTTGGATGTTTTTCATTACAATTGAGTTCCACCTTATGTGTGTGGGGTCGTTACACAGTCCTGTGACATAATTTGAACACAACACAACAGTGGAGGACGTTAAGGCGATGGTATACCTGCTGTTCCGTGCATGGCTTCTAGTCAGACTCTGCGACCACATTGTTGTTTTTTTTTGTAGCCATTTGTCCTCCCTGGCACAGATTCTACCACCTAATGGAAAACCCTAAAAACCGAGTCTAGTTGAACCATGCCGAGTAGCTACAAGTGGGAAAGGGCTATAAATGCCAAAAAAAAAAGAAAGAAAAAAAAGAAATTAGGTTCAACAAATGCCAAAATATCAGAATATTGGGGGTTTTAATCACCAACTATCAGTATTAATCTGAAACATGTTTTATCATTCTCTAATATGTAGAAAATGTAGAAATGTGCCTAACTGGTAAATTTTCAAACTAGAAAAAAAGAAGGTAAAGATGGTCGGCATGGTTGTCAAAAAGTGGGACATAACGGTGAGTTGCCTTGCCAACAGTTAAAAACAAGTTTTCTAAATGGCTCCCTCTTAGTGCTGAATGCTTTTGTTGACTAGAACCAAGACATTTATTATGCAAAGCTACTTAAGCTACAGACTTACCGTACGCAATGCACCATAACTTTTAATGTGGGCATATAATGAGGTCATACCTCATAATAGTGAGAGGAAGGAAAGAGGTGGAAGACATGGACGAGGGAGATAAAGTCTATATTGATTCGCTCCAGCACATCAGCAGATGCTGCACACTGACTCAGGACTTTCAGTTTTCTTCCTTTCTATTCACCGTTAATAATGAGAAAGTAATGATGCTGGTGTAGCTCACCAGGTTGAGCAGCAGACCCATGCGCAGCAAGGCTATTGCAGGGCCATTCGCTGTGTGTCTTCCCCCTGCAGTCTTTCTCTTCCTGTCTACTCTCAATCTGTCCTGTCATAATAAAGACTAACCCCCGCCACCAACACCACCAAGCTGAAAATAAACCACATCACTGCAAAATATGTACTTAAAATAAATAATGACAATGTCTCAGTCGCGGCCCGCTGCCCACATTACGATCTGAAATATCAAAATAACCAAACAGCATTCATCAGGTGCCACACATGTGTCTGAGACCTGAATCGATGTGATTAAAGCTGCTGTTATACTGATATCTCTGTGGCATGTGGAATGTGCTCTGGTTGGCTGCAACACGCTCCGTCCTATTTTTAAACAACTTTTCTGAGAAGTCTCCTGTGTCTCATGTTCCTTGCTCCCTCAGAGGGCACAAACTCTTTGCTTTAGATCTAGTGCCACCACAAGTATGGTGATGTTGGACACAATGTGGCCTGCTTAGTCTGCTTTAGATAATAATGACAGGTAACTAGATCAAGGCCAAACAGATCAAAATGTTCTTTTATGCCTGTGTCCAGCCTGTTTCCTGTCACCTTTAATAAGGTCACTCCGCTGTTACACTGTTTCAGCCCAGCACAGAGGCAGTGTACACCTGATAGCCCAACAGTAAACAAGACAAGGACGCATTTTACTCCTTCAACGAGGTATCTTTGTTGATTTAGGAGTAAATGTAAAGTATTTTTCGCATTTGATCAGAACTAGACAGCTCCAAGACGCCACCCTCATCAATCTGCCCTCATGTACAAACAGTTAACACGATATTGCGTCACGCGGCACAATGCGCAGGAGAATACACCTGTCTAACCCAAAGAGCTGTTCTGATGGTTGATTACACTATACCTGTAATGCGTGGGTTATGCGTAATGAGCAGACGTAATTAACAGGACCGACCTCTGAGCGGCTCTTCAGGCTGCTCCTCTTGGGTCTGAAAAGGACATCCTTAAAATCCAGCTTGAGGTCTGCGTCCACTCGAGGCATCTTAAATGCCCCCAGAAATGATGACCAGGACGATGATGGTGAGTATGCAGAGGTAGCTCCCCCGAGGAAAACGCCACCAGCTGTGGTGGTCGCTGGTCCCAAGCCCCAACCACCAAACCCGAGTCTCAAGGAGGCCAGCGTTTTTATAGCAAAGCGGGACCCAGCCCAGTCCTGGCCCCCATGGCTTTATTTGGGCCTGGACTCTCTCTGTCCCCCCTCTTTCTCTCTTTTCTCTCGCTCCAGCCGCGCGTGCCTCCCCCCTCCGCCGCTCTTCAGCTGAATGGCAGGAGCAGCAGTGGCTGAGCTGGCAAGCAGGTCCGGGCTGTCCCATCTGCAGACGCGCGCGCGCACACACACACACACACACACACACACACACACAGACGGCAGCACTGCAGTTGCTCGCGTGCTGCAGTGCTAAAGAGCACACCTGCTGTCCAGCTGGGGCATTGCTCCCTTTGCTGTCGATGGGCAAGACAGCGTGAGGACAAGCTAACAAACAAAAGCGGGGAAGAACAGGAGGAGATTCATATGCACACATGTGCGGTAGTGTGCAAAAGTCTTGAGCCACCTTTTATTTCTTTATATTTTGCTTTCAAGGAGCCAGACTTTCTTGTTGTCAAGTTGTCTTCAGCAATAGCTATCAAGGCCTTTCTGAAGGTGTTTCAAAGTGTTTCTGTGAACATTTCCAGAGGAATATATTTTTTTGTTAACCCTATATGAATTATTTAAGCCTGTGTTGTGACTAGCCAAAAACAACAACAACTCAACAGGTTAGAAAAGAACCAGTTTTAAATATTTCTATCTTTAGACACTTTGGTACTTGCAGCCTGTCACAAAACACATCGTTTATTCTTTAATTGAATCTAGAAAAGATGCTAAAGCTAACACAATCAGACAGGCATTACATGGAGTTGTAGCAACAACAAGGTGATTCTTAGAGAGCTATTAGCTGAAAGCTCAGCATGGTTTGAATTGTGTCCTTACAAATTTGAGGAAACTGGATAAGAAAATAAGGGAATAAGTGGATCCCCTCAAAAAGAAAAAGAAAAAAAAGAAAAAGGAAGGCAATTACAGTACATGAGGAGACTAGGAAAATGTTACAAAGATCTTACAACCAAGAGAGAGGGGCAAGAGACACAAAACATCAAGGAGCTGACTCAGAGGAACGCAGGGGAAGAAGCGCAGACAGACTAGCAACAAACAAAGGAAAACATGGGGCCTAAATACAGAGGCAGTAATGAGGGAGTGAGAAACAGGAGGGAAACACAGCTAGGACTAATTAGACATAAAGAGACAAAGGAAGCAAAGCAGAATGCACCCCACACAGGACAGGGACTATCAAAATAAAACAGGAGACGAGACATTAACAAACACGTGGACTTGACAGAGGGAACATGAAGACAAGTGGTTAGACAAGGAACACGGGGAAGGCAAAGTAACAGAAACCTAAATCCTGGGAACTAAGAAGAAACACAAGCAGAAAACCAATAATGACAATAATCCAAAAATATAAATTAACCAATAAACACAAAACCCTGAGTCACAGACCCAGTACCAATGTTTCTGTGTTTGACTAGAAATTTCTAATTACACCTAAACCATTTTGTCTCATAAAAATAAATCATCTTTCATAAGCAACACCCTAAAAATGCATTAATAATGATTTCTTACCCTGCAACCTTACACTCTGAATCAACTACATTTATTATATTTATGTTATTAATGATATTTATTATTATTAGTCAGTGTATTCATACTAAACCCAGTAGCATCTTTTAAATAGCAGCTGAGAAAATAAAGAGCCCCGCTACAGTTTCCGGTCATACCAGCAGATGTCAGCAGAGTTTCAGAAAACAGATACTATATGAACGTCAGAAGAGGAGCGTCAACACAACACTTGTTTAAGTTTTTCCTGGGAACAGGATGTCCCGTCCTGATGTTCACATGCAGTCATGGAAGAGGCATTCTTCTGTCATCTCTCAGCTTTTATTTATTTTTGTGATAATACCAGTGCAAAATATATAATTGAATTGTAATTGGTTTTAGTAATGCATTATTAAAAAATATCACTTCATATCGCAGCTGCTAAAGGTGAGGTTAATTTTAACTACGGTATAACTCTATTTTAAAAAAAAAAAAAGATTAGGTACACCGATCAACTGAGTGTTAATGCAAATTTCTAATCAGCCAATCACATGGCAGCAACTCAGTGCATTTAGGTTAAATTGAGCCTTGAAATGGGTGAGAAAGTGACTTTGAATGTGGCACGGTTGGTGGTGCCAGACAGGCTGGTCTGAGTATTTTACAGAGAGTGGTCTGAAAAAGAGAAAATATCCATTGAGTGATTTAAATGCCTTGTTGACCTCAGAGGTCATAGCAGAATTCAGACTGCTTCTAACTGAGAGGAACAACTGCAGAAGAGCATCTCTGAATGCAGAGCAGATGGGCATCCGCAGCACAAGACCACATGGGGGGTCACTCGTGTCAGCTAAGAACAGAAATGTGAGCCAGCAGTTTGTACATGCTCACCAAAATTGGAGAAATGTTGCTTGCTTTGATGAGCCTCGATTTCAGTTCACGTAGAGGGTAGGGTCAGAATTTGATGTAAACAACATGAAAGCACGGATTCATCCTTCCTTGTGTCAAGGGTTCAGGCTGCTGGTGATGCAGAGGTGTGGGGAATATTTTCTTTGGGCCCCTTAGTACCAACTGAGCATTGTTTAAACAAAGTCTACCGGAGTATTGTTGCTGACCACGTCCATCCCATCACAGTGTACCCATCGTCATACAGCTGCTTCCAGCATAATAAGACACCATGTCGCAGAGTTCAAATCATCTCAAACTGATTCCTGGAACACGACAACTGTTCTCAAATGACCTCCACAGTCAACACATCTCAACAACAGAGCACATTTTATTGGAATGGGAGATTCATATCATGCATGTTCAGCCAGCATATCTGCAGCAAATGTGTGATGCCAACATGGCAATATGGCTCAAAATCTCCAGGAATGTTTCCAGCACCTTGTTAAATCTATGTTACAAAGGAGGTCTAACCAGGTACTAGCAAGGTGTATCTAATAAAGTTTTCTAATAAAGTTTTTATACATAATGTACACTCCAGTGAGTGTACATTATGTATGAAAACTATATTGTATGTAAGATTTTAAGTATTTTGTGCAGATTATTTGAGTCTGGAAAATAGTTAAATAGAAGTAATAATAAGAATATAATTAAAAAGTAATAATAAGTAATAAGTAATAAGCTTCTATTAATAATAGAAGTAAGAGTAGCTGTTACAACAATTTCATGCAATAAGATTAGCAAAAATACTACCAACAGAAACAGGTATATGGAACAAAAACATTTGAACTACTGAAACAAATGCTTCAGTACTTTAGTGCTTAGTTGCTTGAGAGTTAAAATCATATAACATATAATAGTATGTTAGAGTATTATATGTTATTAATGTTATATCAGTGTTATTAATAGTATGCAGCATGTTGTTGCTGCAGGTCGTAGAGCTTAGAAAGAGACTGAGTCATGCAATACCATAGTTTTTCAATCTAGAGCACAGGGTTGTGTAGGATCAAGGAGTCGGACCTTTTTCACAGATCCAGTCTCATATTACTCAGCCTAATGCAGAGATAAAGTCTCATCAGCACTCTTAGCTCCAGAGTAACGTTAATGCATGAAACAGATTTTGGAGGGCTGTAAAGAGATGCTTTTTTGAAAGATATTTTAATGGATCTCTAAATAATACAACAGTGTTACACTGGTGTAAAAAGCATGTTTGCAAATATGTTTAGAAATGTCACTGTTTAAGGTTAAAGTTTAAATATTTCAAAATTTAAAAGCATACCAGAGGATAGATTTCAGTTTCCATAGCAACATGTTTGTTTGTTTCGCATTTTTTGTAGTTTGCCACTCTCTGTGTCCGTGTGTATGTTAAAGAATAGACAAGAATAAGAAGAACAGAGGAAGAATCTGTATCATTGGTAAACCTGTTCAAAGAATGTTGCACTTTTAATAAGCTGTACTTCATAGAAGTGTAATGCATTCACTAAATAAACATTAAACTAGCTGAAAAGATACAAAGGTTTCTTTGTTTTTATCAATGTATGTGAGGTCTGTTTATTTTCTCAGATTCACTTGATTAATTTTTCCTTAGAAGAAAATATTATTTAAAGGGGAAACAAATATTCTTTTGAACCATGTGAAGGAAAAAGACAAATGACTGAGTCAGTCAGTGTCTCTGGTCAGTTTTTGTTTGTTTGTTTGCATTAAACTTTTAAATACATGTCGCAACATGAATACACGTTCAACAATTCAGTGTCTGACAGAGACAGGAGAGAGGAATCACACAGACCTCCTGAGTCAGCGGAGAGAGGAATAGTCCAGCGGATGGAGCCCCAGAATATTCAGGAAAGAGAGACACAGCAGGTATCCCTGAAGATAGAACTGCAGATCAAAACAATTCAGAATGACCTGATTGTGCTTGAGAAAAAGCAAGAGTTTCTCCTTGAGCAGAACAGCAACATTGTTGCTCTGCTGTCCAAATTTAAAAGTGAGAGAAAAAAACAAAAGACAAAGAACACAAATCTCAAGAAACGTTTGGAAAATCTTCCGTGCCAAATGGAAGAAATGCAGCATTTAATAATGAAATGAAGTAAAAGTAGAAGAAATCCTACTGACCCTGAGTGATTTGAGACTCCTGTCTCTGAACCACCTCCTGACGAGGTTCAGGACGTGGTTCAGCTGGGTCTTCTCAAAGATGCTCAACTGAAGTGAATTTCCCGGCTGTTCTTTGTAGGATTGTGTTTATGATCTACTTGAACCCTACTACAATTTCAGAGGTGGACCTGTTATCTTTCAAAGAACAGGAATAATGTTGCCAAGAAAATGACTTCAGACTAGCCAGAGCCTCACATGAACATTTTGTCTGTGTTGATATGAACAAAGGGACAGAAATATCTCAGTCTAGAGAATTAGTCCAAATAAGTCTGGTGTGGCTGAGACAGCAAGCCCAAGTTTGTTTCCTTCTGTTTCTGGTCCTGTGGAGTTGCCCATGTGTCTTGCCTCTCAGCCTGCTATAACTCATTTTTCAGTGAGTGACTTGGGACGAAGTAATGGACCTATAGACGCTGTTTCCATGGACATTTGTGCTACGGATGTTTTTTGTGTGGCTGAACCACACTGTAAACCCGGATTAGTTCAGTTTACTAAAGATTCGCATGGAAACCCTTCTATGGTTTGACAAAAATAA